ACATAATTTGCATATCCTCTTTCGACCGTTCCGCGTAGTCTAGATACGCCCTCAAGGGGCCAGGCAGCGCTCCCCTGCCAGCAGGCATGCTCACTTGCCCTCCTCCATGGCCTGCAGGCTGTCTGAGGGGGGAGAGCAAAGCTCTGGGGGCTGCCCCTGAGCAGCTCTCCTGCAGGCTGTCTGGAGGTTCCCCCCTTCAGCTGCCCTCCCTCCTCCAGCAGGCCGTTCTTCTACCTGCAGGCTGTTGGGAGGTGAAGCTCCGTGGGCTTTTCTTCCTTCAGTTGTCCCCATTAGTCCCCTGTTATATCATTTGGCATTCCACGGTTTGGAAGGAAATACCTGGAAACACAGAAATCTTGAGCAGTTGCAAGTGTCCATTTATTCCATAACACAGAACTAACTAGAACCAGCCTAAAACAGCCGGGCTGACCCCCTAGTGACCTAACTCAGTTATTATAACAAAAAGATCTATATCTACAACAACCCAATACACAATGCGCTCCCCGCACGGCTTGTAGGCTCTCAGTGGGGGGAGTAGGCTCTATGTTTGGATGTGGGGAGGAGTGGTCTTTACCAGTGTGCTGGCAGGCAAGAGGGCAGAGCCCCAGCTGTGCTGGCCACTCGCTTGGCACTGCAACTGCCCCCTATCCCGGGGCCACTCTCATTATCACTTCCCTTCTCTCGGTGCCCCTCCCTTTCACATTCCTCCTCCCTCTGTCCCCTCCTTTTCCATGTAATGGTAAATAATCCCATTCTTGGCACTTCCCATTGTCTGTGCACAACCAAACCCTGACCTTGGTTTAAGTTAGTATAACAGGAAGCTGCATACCAAACTTGGTGGTCCTAGCTCTTACGGTTTAGGATTTCTTGAATAAACAGACAGACACACAACACATTCCAAAGTATAGAGATAGATAGATTAGATAGATAGATATAGAGAGAAGTTTTCTTTTCTTGTGCATATAGGGAAGAGTAATCAGACACTTGTCCAGATGGTGCAACTTGGGGACTCAGGACATTCTTATACATGGTCCCCAGTGTAGTTTCTCTAGTTTAGTTATCTATGGCTTCATGCAGGTTGCCATGATGGCTGTAGC